GGGATTGGGTCACAGAAATCGGGCATTGTGACCAAATGGGCTAATAATCCACTTGAGATGCAGCAGGCGACCAGAGACAGATGTCCACAGTTTGCTTAGGGCACATGAGCTTAATCGAGGAGAGGATGCGTGAAGTTAATGCCTAACATCCGCAGACATGGGAATCAGAGTCTAGGCGCTCTGAAGATAAGGCGACTTTGTACGTGCTACTGAAGGCTTGAGAAGTAGCACTTGGAATAAAAGTACGCTGGGGCTGGAACCGAGTAAAATTGGTCAATCAGAAAGATAGGAAACAGACCTAAGAGTCCATGAGGCATATCTGGACAGGAGGCTAAAGTCAGATCAGTCACTCGAAAGGGAGGAGAGCAAGGCAAACAGCACATGTGATGGCCAAAAGGGCACATCTCTTGTGGAATATAAACATGTCAGAAGTTGTGATAAGAAGGGATCGAGACTGGAGGGTAGGAAATGGATAGAGGGACCAGGACAAAACGAGGACTGATGGCATAATCGTTTCGACTTCAATTGTCTCTTTGACGAGTTGTAGCTTGGTTTGCTGAGAATGGTAAGACTCATTGATGATGCCGACTATGATTCCGGCGAAACGTCTGTACCAAGTCTCTAAGTCCGACTTTAGAAATGACCATGCATACTATGGACTCCGGACAAGGTGCGCTCCTCTAGGTCTTTGTGCTAATATGACCAAGTTGTTAAACGACGGAAAAGATAATTTGGATGAATCCCCTGAGCTAATAAATAGAATGTGTGCCAATACTAAATTTATTATGGGATTAGTAAAAGAGAATGAATTGCCTTTTTTGGATGTATTAGTGAGGAAAGAGACTAATAAATTGGACTGAGGCGAGTATAGGAAATCCGCACACATGGGTTTCGCTAATAATTTCTTATCCAACCATACATAAAGAGTTAAAGTAGGAGTTATGAAACTAATGATAATAACGTGTCTGCGCCAAGCAGATGTATACCGTAGGGGCCATGAGATCGACAAATTGAGGCATATATTGTTTTACTACAATTACCCATTTAGATTAATGGATAATTACATTTCAAGTCTCAGCAACAGAATGATGGGAGATTGTTGCTTATGGCAAGCAGGATAGACAATTCTTTTTCGGTTCCGATTTTGATTTTCCGTCAACTTGTGAAAAGCCAATTGGCCTACTGAGAAAGTGAGACATCAGAACAAAATATAACGAGAAATCAACACCTTCAGTCGTGCCTGATTTTCGAAAATTTTCTTAACATCTTCCTAGATCAGGCTCATGTGTTAGTGCCTATGTGAGGAAGACTTACCGACCCATCCAGAAAAGTCTATTCAAACAGAAAACCAGTTCTAAAGTTTGACGGGACGTAAATCTAAGTTTGCCGAACAAATGGCTAATACAGAACACTCGAAGACTGGTCCAAAACCCAACATTATGCGGGTTACGGGGGCTTCACATTAGGGCGCAAGATTAGGGAGTCTATAGAAATTAATAAAGCAGACAGCGTCCTGTATAGGGGGAATAAGTACAGGAAATTGAGTATGAAGTATTTATGGCTGCTGGGTAAACTTAAGAAGAATGAGAGAGAGAGAGAGAGAGAGAGAGTTATAGCAGGAGGAGCCAATGAATGAGGAAGGAGGCTGGATAAGCTTCGAGTCTAGCTAGGACCATCATACCTCTGACATGAACATCACATACACACACTAGCCAATAGAACATATCTAAACATTAGTCATGAATCAAAAGTAGGGTAAGTTTTAGATAGCCAAGAAAGTCATAACATTTTTTGTTTTCGAGATTACCAGTAGATCATCTATACGAGATGTATTCCCCATATTTGGTCTTCCCAAAAGTTATTCTTATTCAGGCAGGAGTGGACTGCAGTTTCGACCTTGCCTAGGTCTTATCAACACCCCTAGCGGGAATCAAACCACGACAGTGCAGCGTATAACCTCGACGAGCTTACCCCTACGACAAGGCCATGTAAAATTCAATACTCATATGATCGTGGGAAAATTCAACTACCAGTCCTCTTGTCACCTTAAATAAAATAGGGGGAATACACTTCATATAGATAAATAATCAACCGTGAGCATCTTTCAAATGGTCTTTATGACATGTTACTGGTTGTATGAGCACTTTTCTCTTTAGTAAGTAAATGTTTTATGAACAGGGGTGTCCCACATTCGAGGAATAAGCTATACACATGCGCCATGTCAACCACGGCTCTAAAAATCAAAGAATGTTCTCTAATGAATATTACCAATGAAAGGCTTACATGGATAATGTTACTGATGGTATATGCACATCCTTCAAAGTCTTTTCTTGTTCGAGTGCAGGTACAGCTATGAATTAAGAACCTTCACATCAGACGGTGCAAATTGTTTCTCAGATGGTCATTATTTGGAGGGAAGACGTTCCATCTTCGCCTAGCTTAGATAGCTTGGATAAAGGTTTTTTAAATAATCAGCATCCATTAAGACTAGTATTAATGGAAAAGTTATTGCTCATTTCGATCAGGCATTATTAAATTTAATGATTTGAATGGGATTTCTAGATATTTCCTCAAGGAATGCGCCCGGTATCATGCTAAAAAAAGTTGATTAAATTTACATTAGCGAGGATAAAATTTATTCTCTGCTCTGATTATTGTGAGATATCATTGTTTGTTTGGTACATCTAAGTCTACATGAACAACAGCGCACATGCAAACATTCACAGAAACATGATTCTATATTCAAATATATGACATGAACTAATCAAATCAATCTAACTCACAAAAAATGTCAAGGCTTATGGCATATTTCCAACATGTAAATCTAGGTCAGTTAAAACGCAGGTATAAAGACAATGATGGTGTGGCCTTTTGTATGGTCGCGGTCTCCTTTCTTTTTATAGAAGTTGTTTGACCTTGTTTTCGCAACTTGGTCAAATTGGTAGGAAGACTTAGAGGATAATTTCCAGAGTCGGACCGTGGACTTGGTAAATTCCTCAGACTTTTCATCGGCATCATCAGTGAGCCTTGCCATGCTTAGCACCACACCTTAACTCGTCAAAGAGACAAGTGATACGAGGATATGGGTTAGGTGAATAGCCCAGGACAGAAGGAGAGATACCACAACTGTTTAGCAGACAAATGGTCAAAGGATCGGCTTGACTTGTTTCTTTAACGAGATGTAGTATGGTGCTAAGAATGGCAATGACGATGCCGGCGAAAGGTATGGGAATGTACCAAGTCCACGGACCGACTCTGGAAATGATCATGCATACTACGAACTCCGGACTAGATGTGTTTCTCTAGGTTTTCCTACCAATATGACCGAGTTGCGAAAACAAGGTCAAACAACTTCTATGGGTTAGTTTAGTTTTCAAACCCACAGATTGTAGAAAGAACTCGGAGACTGGAGTCTATTTTATGATTTGATTATCTACGCACTTCAGACTACATGCGACACAACTATCGACAGGCTGACAAACCAAAATCGGGCTTTGCGTCTCATGCCAGCCCAGACTTACTCTCCTCCACACATCCAACGAGGGTATGCGCAACATGACAATAAAGACAACGCCACAAGTAGGCAGGTCGCCCGAACATGCAAAAAAGCGAATTGTTTGTTAAATATAGAGCGATGGGCGAGCAATAAAGATCCGCAGACGTGAATGGGAGGGAGTCCTGTCTTCAACTGGACGATTATGAGAGACAATTCGAGAGTTAACACATTCCCCACCCACCCTTCGCCTCCACGATTTGCGTGTTAGGTGGTTTACCCAGCAGTCGGAAACAAATGTGCTAGATGCACTACAGGCGTGGCTATAAAACGCAGGGGTACAGCGGATATGGGTATAAAATTGGAGTTGGGCTGGAAACTGAACCCGCCCTATCTTCCGGAGGACCGAGGCAGCCGAAAGTTATAACGCCTCGAGAACACTGAGCCGTGTAAACGTGGAAGCCGGTGGGGTTCTTCGACTGTCCCTCGACGCGACTCACGTGTCGGAGCCCTCCTCACGACTGGTGCATCGATAGGCGAGCGTAATGGCCGCTCCAGGGCAACCAGTAGTACCACCAGTGCAACCACCAGTAGCACCACCAGTGCAGCCACCAGCACAGCCACCAGCACAGCCACCAGCACAGCCACCAGCACAGCCACCAGCACAGCCACCAGCACAGGCACCAGCACAGGCACCGCTGCAACCGCAGCCGACTACAGTGTCGGCGCTACAACCACTGCCATTCAGAAGAAGGGAGAATGAGGCTGGAACCGAATATGGTGATGAGTACGATGATTATGGATACGAGGACGAGGACTATGAAGACTATGAGGCCAAGGCGAGGCGAAACAGTCGGCGAATCAACCGAGGCTGCCGCATTATAATTCCTGCATTGCAATCGCTCACCCGAACTCGGTTTCGCTTTTGAACCCTGATGATTCAATGTCCCGTTGATAAGACTGCTTGAAATATATACTAAACGAAGACTCGATAGAAGTGATTACGTCTGTCTACGCAAACCAACTTTTGAACATGCCTATCTCGACTGTAACGAGATGAATTTTCAGCTCCCTCAGCATCAAAGCCGTCTTCTCTCTTCGATTTCGAAAATATATTTATGAGTATATAGGCTTGGATACTGCACATTTGAGTTGAATAGTTGTTGCTTAGCCAGCTTCAGTTGGTAGAATACGACTCCCATGGTGCCTAGAACCTGAGTCCTCAAAGGCCTCAATGGGTGGTTGGTTAAGGTGATTAATATTTTCATTGTTGCCGTCCTTGCTCTCAGGCCGGTTATAGATTGAGGTTGGTGTCGTCATGCGCCCAGGAAAAAGGCGATCTGACCGACTGGTAATATGGAGCAGTGAATAGTGATTTCGCCAACTCGAGTCCAAGTTCGGGGCCAATAAACTATGCCGAGTTAACCGGTAAGATGTTATTTAAAGAACGAAGAATGCCTTTTAGTTAAGTTGATACGTTGGCTTGAATTACTATTAAAATGGGGCAAATACACCCCAAATAAGTGTAGCATGGCTAGATAAGCAAGCCTCATCCTTAGTTCTTCGCTGGATTCTTAACTATTGACCTCTCAGACAAAATTTTTATTTTATTTTTAAAATAAAGTATTGTTTTCGTGACTACCAGTAAATCAGTAATATAAGATGTATTCACCCAATTTCGTTTAAGGTGATGAAGAAATCGTAGAAGAAGAATTTTCCCACAATTATATGAGTTTAGCTGACGTTTTCATTCAATTTCACATAGTTTTGCTTTCCCTGGATGAGAACTTTAGAAGAATAATGTTCCCACAATGATATGAGTTGACCTGACGTTTTCATTGAATTTCACATAGCTTTGCCTTCCCAAAAGTTGTTCTCATCCAGGCACCAGTGGATTGCAGTTTCGACCTCGCATCGGTCTTATTAACACCCTCAGCGGGAGTCGAAACGCGACAGTACAGGATGGGAGC